ATATCCTTTTTCCAAAAGTTGTCCAATACTGAGAATGTTACTTTTCATATTAGGTACGTAATAAACATTAGAAATGAATTCTTCATTTCCATTCTTAAGAAAAAATCGTATTTTTCCTTTACCTTCAACTTGTAGTTTGGATGAATCTTCCAAACTTACATTACCTTGAATCTTCTCATCAAGGTCAATAAAAAATATTTTCTCCCACACATGTGGTTGCTAGCTCCAAAATCAAAAAACCACATGTCTTGTTGATTATTAGCTTCGTCATGTGCTAGTTACAATGTAGGACTTTCTTCATTGTTTCTTGATGATTCAACAAAATTTAATCGATTGCCTTGATCCTTTTGTTTGCTCCAACACTCAGATGCATAATGTCCATATTTTTAACAATGATAGCATTGAATGTCTTTTGTTTTACCACGTTTGTTGAAACTCCTTCCTCCTCTGTTTGACCCTCTTCCATGGACAAAATTTCTCCCATTACTTTGGTTGCGAGGTTGGTAGTTACCACGACCTCTTCCTCGTCCACGAAATCCACCTCGTCGATTTCCACCTCTTTGTTCATTTAATGACAACTTTGATTCAAATGCTTGCTCTATAATACCTGGTTCATCATTCTTCTGAATTCTTTGTTCAAGTACTTGAAGAAATCCCATAAGTTCTTCTATTGATAATGAATCAATATCTTTTGATTCTTCTATCGCAGGTAATACATGGTTAAATCTTTTATTGCATGATCGAAGTACTTTCTCCACAATCTTTTTATCTTCAATCTTTTCTCCATTTAATTTTTGTTGGTTAACATTTGTAAGTAGGCGAGAAAAATATTAAGAGATTGACTCATTACTAGTCATTTTGATTTCCTCAAATTCACCTTGTAATGCTTGTAAGCGAATTTTTCAAACTCTCTTGACTCCTTTAAATATAGTTGCAAGTTTATCCCAAGCTTCCTTGCTTGTGGTTGCATTTGAGATTTTCACAAATGTTTCGCAGTCTAATCCTATGTAGATTAAAAATAATGCCCTTTGATCTTTCTTCTGATTTTCTTTCAACTCATCTTTCTTCTCTTTAGTTAATGCCACTTTTGTTTCATCCAATGGATTTTCAAATCCATCATTAACAATTTCCCACAAATCTTGGGAGCCAAATAATGCTTTCATTTTGATGCACCAATCTTCATGTTGGTCTTTTGACAATTGGGGTACTTGTGGCTGAACAAAGTTTGTAGACGTTTTGAGATATTGCAAATAATGTGGCTCTGATACCAAACGTAGGAGTTATATCAATTTACAAATTGCTAACTCAAATAATAATAAGGAGATATATAGGAGGAATAAATGTGGGTTACAACCCAAATAATAAAATTCTCTTTATTAATTCTCAATCTCTCTTATGCTTGCTTATTTATTTCTTTCTTTTATTTCTACTCTTCTGCTTCTCTTCTTATAATGAAAATAAACATTACAATTATAAATTCTGTTTTACTAAATAATAAAAGGATGAAAACTCTTCTAATTCACAACCTCTCACTAATTTATCAAATGTTATTTCAAGTAAACTAATTAATTTTATCAAATGCTTAAAATAGTTTTCTAAATCAAAGTTTGAATTTCAACATCCATAATGCTTAGAAAGACGACTTCTCTGATGTTGGGTGAAGTTTTTGTGCTCCTCCACAACTCCGTGATGGAAGGGTGATGGCTCCCCCTCGAAGATCACAAACCTGCAACAAAAAATAAAATCATCGCTAAGGCATCGACGAAGACGACTTTTGAGGTTGAATATTGGCTCTTCCTTGTGGCTCTAAGTGTCGGGCTAATGTGAGGTTTTGATAAGACTCCTTTTGTACTTGGTAGTTTGTCATGACTCGGTGATCCTAGGAAAGATGGCTCTTCAGTGCTATTGATGATGAGTGGCGCTCCTCCGATCCGTGGCTCCGTGGCGTCGGTTCGAGACCATCAAGTAGCAGCTCCGTCATATTATGGATTGAAGATAGCAACTTCTCCTTTCTGTAAGAATAATCTTCACCGAAGTCTTATATTTATAGGGAAAACTTGATGAGTTAACAAACTCTCAACAAGATTGAGACGGCTTCCAAGTTTATCTTTAGAGGTGGTTGAGCCTTTCGTGCCTTTTGACTCTTTGAATGTTGAAGATCATCTCCAAAATTCATATTAAAAAAAAGATAAAAAGAAATAAAGTGGTAGCATGTAGTTGCCTAATTTGATGTGGTTGTATGTGGAGATTCTATATGTCCCATTTGAAAATATGTATACTACATGAAGCAATAACTCTTATTTGCTTGTAGTACTTATGTTGATAAATGCAAATTTAAGAATTAAGAGTAAAAGAGTTGTGTTACATACCGTTGCAAGTAAGTTTCGAGACCCGTCATGATCAAACACTCCAAATTCGTGTCCATGACTGATCTTGAAGGGGTCTATTTGTAGGCACGTAAAATTTATATAAGTGTCACATTGGATAGGTCAAAAGTCTCAAAAAAAAAAAACAATTTGACTTTTGACCTATCCGATGTAACACTTATATAAATTGTTGACTTAATGGTATTTGACTGTTAATTTAAAATATTTAATTTGGGTGAAATATATTAAATTAGCCCATTTTATTTAATTTAATTTAACATGTATATTTTGAGGGTTAGAACTCAATAACTAGGTTAAGCTATAATAGATGGGTCACGGTTACCTAGTCAAAAGCCCAATACAAATATAACCCTAACCTTAAGGGTGTTCCCTCACTTTATAAATAGAACTTTTCTACTTCTTTTGGGAGAGGAAACAAATAGAATCAAATAATAGAGAAAACCTCTCAAATACTCTAAACCTCTGCACAAAAAACCTCTTAAATGCTCTAAACCTTTATTTCTAGAGAAAATCTTTCAAAACCTAGAAGAAGAGCAACAAGCATTCGACGTGTCATTCTACTCTAGAAGATCATCCGTGGAAGAGATCAAGCCTCGACGACCCTCAACTTGAAGGAAAGAAGAACTTCATATCATTAAGCACATCATAAGTTCGTGCCTCTACATCAAATATCTGCAATAGAGATCAAGCCTCGTTGGCCCTTAATCAAGAATTCAAGTCAAAAGTCTACATCAACAATTTTTGATCGAGATCAAGCCTCATCAATCGGCGCTTAATCAAAACTCAAGTCAAAGTTCTGCATCAACTATCTTCGATCGTGATCAAGCCTCAACAACCCTTGATCAAGAATCAAGTCCGCCTGTGAAACAAGTCAAAGCTAAAGCGGAGATCGAATCAGAGGAGCAAATTAGAGATTGTACCCATTGTACCCATAAATTATCAAATTAATAAAATTAACATTTTGTTTAGTTTGTTTTAAATCTATATTTTGCAGATTTAAAATTTGTGTTTATAGGTGCAAATTGGATACAAATTTTTGATTATTATTGAGTTTAACTAGTTTCGATCCAATATGGATCACCATTCATAGGCAAATGTAAAGCCCGTAGAGAGGCTACGAAGAAATGAATACGATTTCTATTACTCAATCTTGTTTTATTTGAGAGCGTGACATAATATATTTTAGTTCTTATTTTAAGGAACTGTTGCAACATGTTTTGAGAATTTTGACAAGTTGTTGCTCACCTATATCTACAATTCCTGTATTTATTCGCATTAAATATTCGATCTGTTTTATTTTGATTGACCAATTTGTTTTTTCAAACTTTTTGATGCACTTGTTTGATCGTTGATCAATATCTCCAATTTTGTTTTATAAAAGTAACTTTTTTCTACTTATCGAGTCGATTTTAATAAAATCTCATATAAATGTAATTTATCTTACACTTTAGTAAAAAAATCACATTTAAAAATGTGAAGTCTACAATATGGGAAATGATTTTAGCACAAGCATAGTTTTCTATGCTCTTCTTACATAGGGCTAGGCCAAAATCAATTAAGGTTGAGCCAAAATCAATTTCCCTACAATATGCGAATACATCATTTGGAAACGGAGGATATATCATGTTTACTCCCTCCATCCATAATACTTGACACAGTTTTCATTTTCGTCCGTCTCACAATACTTGACACGTTACTCAATATGGAATGGGACCACAAATAAAATAATATTTTTCCACATTTTCTCTCTCCTCACTACTCCCACCCCACCTCCACTCCCTCTTGTTAGTTTCTTGCAATATAAAAATACAAAAAAAATATTTTATATAATAAACAAATGTTTTAAATGAATTCACTAGTAATTTTCTTAAATTACGTGTCAACACCAACGTCTCAAGTATTATGAAACGAGGGAGTAATTAATAATTCACTTTATAAAACTTTAAAATTGGGATAATGAAGTGGAAATTACTTCCACGCAAGTCACAAGTAGAACTCATGGATCACGTAATTCAATCCTCAAACTTCATCTTTTAATTCTCCTCCAAAATATTCTCCTCCAATTTCTTCCCCTCAACATAACGGTCTATGGCAAACGTTTACGTTTACGTTGACGTTGAACACCAAATGTCACAGTCAACCTTCCTCTTCATGGATCGATAGTTCTTCCACCTCACACTCACATATACACATTCATATCTTACAAATAATTTCATTTTTCATCCTATCAAAATTATTCTTTTTAACTCCAATACCATTCAATTTAAAAACAGTAATTAATTTGACATTAGCAATAATCTCTTCGTTTTTTTAATTTTTCATTTTAGTCCGCATATTTGTCTTAATTTAACCAATGTATCTTTATTTATTTGATTTGATTTGATATGATCCGATTTAATCTGATGGTCAAATTGATAATTTTTAAAGAAAAAAATGTCATAATGAGTATTTCATTAATATGTAATTTTTATAATTTTTTTATTATGTAATTAAAGATATTTAGTGATAAAAAATTACAACAATAATCTGATCTAAACTTAATTTTTCTAATATAAGTAAAAATAATTGTAAAAAAAGGCCTTAAATCACCATTAATAATCATACAAGTATTAGAGTACTCGTATTAATTTAAATCTTTCCTCCCAATTTCAGGTGATCCGTCCTATATAAACCCAACTACTCTAATTCTCTCCCTCCAAACTTGGACACACTTTCCATGTCCTCCACTCTTCACCTCCATCACCCATTTCCAACCTACCATTTTCTCTCTCCACCACAATCTCCGCCGTCACTTCCTCCCTTCCTCCGCCACTTCAACACCCTCAACTGCACCCCACTTTCTCTCTCCTCCTCATCCTCATCAATGGGTACCATCGACTCCCAAACTCAACCCATCACCACCACTTCTCCCGAGTTCAAACTCGTCGGCTACTCCAACTTCGTCCGCGTCAACCCCATGTCCGACCGCTTCTCCGTCAACAAATTCCACCACATCGAGTTCTGGTGCGGCGACGCCACCAACGTCAGCCGTCGCTTCTCTTGGGGCCTCGGTATGCCCGCCGTCGCTAAATCCGACCTCTCCACCGGAAACTCCGTCCACGCTTCTTACCTCCTTCGTTCCGGCGACCTCTCCTTCCTCTTCACCTCGCCATACTCCCCTTCTCTCTCCTCGCCGTCTTCCGCCGCAATACCCACCTTCGATTTCTCTCTCTTCACCTCTTTCCTCACTTCTCACGGCATCGGGGTTCGCGCCGTTGCCGTCGAAGTCGATGATGCCGAGGCTGCCTTCAATATTAGCGTCTCTCACGGCGCAATCCCGGCTTCTCCCCCGATTCAGCTCGGAAACGGCGTCGTTTTATCGGAGGTCAGCCTCTACGGTGACGTTGTTCTTCGCTACATAAGTTACGGAGGTGGGATAGAGAATAAGAACAACAAGAATTCTGAGACTGCTAGTCCTCCTAGTGAATGGTTTCTTCCTGGGTTTGAGGAAATGCCGGAAGAATCGTCGTTTCGAGGGCTAGATTTCGGGCTCCGGAGACTAGACCACGCGGTGGGGAACGTCCCGGAGCTAGCGAAAGCAATTGAGTATGTTAAAAAGTTTACTGGGTTCCATGAGTTCGCCGAGTTCACAGCCGATGATGTTGGGACGAGCGAGAGCGGGTTAAACTCGGCCGTGCTGGCGAACAATTCGGAGACAGTGTTGATTCCGATGAACGAGCCGGTGTATGGGACGAAGAGGAAGAGTCAAATTCAGACTTACTTGGAGCATAATGAAGGAGCTGGGGTTCAGCATTTGGCATTGATGAGTGAGGATATATTTTGGACTCTTAGGGAGATGAGGAAGCGGAGTGGGCTCGGCGGGTTCGAGTTTATGCCGGCACCACCACCGACGTATTATCGGAACTTAAGGAATAGAGTTGGGGATGTGTTGAGTGAAGAACAGATGAAGGAGTGTGAAGAGTTGGGGATATTGGTTGATAAGGATGATCAGGGTACTTTGCTTCAGATTTTCACTAGGCCTATTGGGGACAGGTAGTATTTCTATTACTCTACTCACATTGGGTTTTATGTTTTGTTTGCTTTATTTGATTGATTGGTTTGTTATGTTGATTTGATTTTGTTGTTTGACTTATGATTGCTTGTATTATTTTTAATTAAAGTTATGTGATATCTAACAAATTCACAAAGATGTCTAAAGGTTGAACTGTGGAAGTAGGTAGTTAATGAGAGAAAAAATTCGATATTTTAATTTTTTATATTGAGTGTTAAGTTGCTAACAGAATAACAGTTAGCTATTTAGCGTTACTCTTATTCGGAGTTTATTTATACTAAGAATTGTTTTTGCAAACTGTTCTTTGGAGTGTTTGAGGATGGCGATTTTAAAGAGTAAACCTTGGGATCATTTGAGCTAAACCTTGTTGATCATTGTAGTGGCGTTTTTTTCCGTTTCAATGTACTAATAATATGCATTTTGTCACTTTAGTTTGTACAACACCAGCGAATTCTTAATCAAACTTGCATATTTACACATTTCAAGCTGTAATTTTATCAGAATTGTGATGCAAAATTCCCATAACGTGACTTAAAATGCTCAAATTGCATAGTTTTCCAGTATAATTGTGGCTTGAAATGTTTACTTACAATTATTAGTAAAATGTCCAAAATAGTATAAATGCGGCCTATTATTATGGAATTGTATTGGCTGCACTGGGAAGCCTTTTCTTTAGCTATATTGAGTAAAAGTGTGGGGCTAAAGTGGAAAGCTTTTTTTAATGTTAGTCTAGTTTGTTGCTTTTGTGCTTTCTTTGTCAATATACACATTTGTTAAAAAATTAGAAATTCTGATGCCACAACAAAGATTTTGAGAATTTGATTAGGTGGAGAACACACTTTCAGTCATTTGTGTACTGTGGGACTGCTCTTAAATGTTGGACATATCACGAGAGTTAGTGGTTAACGTTCTTAGTTATTGAGCACAATGCCTCACTGAAACAAAGAATTTGATGTTGATTGAAATACAATTATAGAGATCGAGGACATTATTCTAGTTGACTAGTTTCTTCAGTGTTCAGTTCGTATTTTCGTATAGACAGCTGCAATATATTTTCCAGATCTTTAGGCTTCACATTGATCCTTATGTCTTTCAATTGCCAGTCATATTGGTAGTTCCAGTCGGGTTTTCTTGTCCCCCTGCTTAATCACCTTTCCTGTCTTCCTTTGGGAATCACATCTTCCCCGGATCCTCATTTTGGCATAGATAGCTGTAGGGTATAGCTAGTCCCAAGAACGGCCAGTAGGAACCTTGAGATTATATTTTCAAACAATCTTACTATCATCCAAAGATGACGACATGACGTTATATGTAGTATTTGGCCGAAGTGCAAAGCCAATGGACCTTTTTGATAGGTGCTGGACTGACTTTCTCAATGACCAATCTTTTTTACGAAAACTATTAGCCCAAACCCCTCAATTTAAGATGGGAGGGACCTTTTTACGTTCTGGTTATAGGATAAACATCAAACCATACAAAAAAAATTGCTGATGCCTCATTCTAAGTAAAATTGGCACAAAAATATATGTGCTAAAAGATTGTTTTTGAAGGGATCATTTGTGTGTGCTTCAGAGCAGAAATGCTATACTTCTTTTTCAATTCCAGCCAACACCTTTGACAATATCCTTGAATCTACATGTAACTGTTTATTGGAATTTGGAATGTTTCTTTTTTTCATGTTAGGATTGACATTATGGTTTGGAATTCAAATGAATTAATCCCTTTGCCTCAGCTGTTAGTTGGTACGAGTCTTGCTTTAGGATATGGAGTTTAAGGAGAGGGTGGGTCCGAACTTTGAGAGAAAGTAGGGAGGAAAAACTTATTAAAAGTATTATGTTAACTTGGGAATAGGACACCATTTTTTAGGTGAAGTTACAACTGGGACGAAGGGGATTACATTTGAAGGCTGTAGCATGCTCAGGAAATTGACATTTTGGTTACAGAATACGGAGTACTAATTGAACTCAACACTTCAATTGGCTTTAAGATGTGTTCTTGTTGCCTAAAGCTTTACGACTCACCGGCATCAGCCTACTATGGGCTCTTAATCTCTTATAGTCAGATAAGTTCCAAGGACATCAAATGCCTAGGATGTTTTTAGCTTATATCCTAAGCAAGGGTTGTTTCCTTGTGATTTTTATTTACATGTAAATCCATAAATGCCTCAAGTTTCGTCTGTATTGATGTGATCAGGCCAACTATGTTCATTGAGATTATCCAAAGAATTGGTTGCATGATGAAAGATGAAGAAGGCAAGTTGTACCAAAAGGGAGGCTGTGGAGGATTTGGGAAGGGAAACTTTTCAGAGCTTTTCAAATCAATAGAAGAGTATGAGAAGACACTTGAACGCAAGCCTGTTGCCGATACAAATGTTGCATGAGTTACAAACTACGTTGTTGCCGTGCAGACATGAATGGTAATATGATTGAGTTGTTGCCGTGCAGACATGAATGGTAATATGATTGAATTGGTGGGCTGCTCGCTCCAATGATCTCGTAACTATGTACTTATCAACCAAGTGTAATTATGCAAAACGTATCATGACAGTGTATAGTGATCCAACTGATCTTTACTAAAGTATGTATTACATATATCGATCATTATGATGTATATGGTGAATAATTTATCAACTATGAAGTCATTTGATGCGTACACAAATGAGAAGTATATGTTGAATCTGGAGCATATGCTTGTTTTACGAGGAAGCAATGATGGTGCTACAAAAAATGAAGTTTATACTTGTATATAACCAATTTAGTTGCATTAAGTAAATAATCCCTCATAAAAGTTTTTAGCAAAGAACCAAGAGTGACTATTTATCTAATCAAAATGATGCAACTGTTAAATGTACAGTAGAGGATAATATAGTTATTATCATACTCATTTACCAAGTTTTATTTATCTTTATCATGAATTTTATATGTCCAAGAATTGATAAAAGTTTCGATTAAAATATTTATTATGAGTGACCTTTTGAGTTGTACATGACTTTTATTGTTAGAGCTTTGAGTTAAAATTAAGTTAAAATATGTACAAGTATACGAAGTACTATTAGACTGTTGGTTGGTTCATTGGAAAACAATTGGAATTGGGCTATTCTTTTTTTGTATGAGGAATTGGACTATACTTAATTTTTTTTTTTTTTTTTGGAATAATATACTTAAATTTTTTAAGAGAAAGGGAAATATTATAAAAACTTAAAAATCATCCAAAAACCAAAGTTTCATAAAATTGGATCTTGCTAACGAACGTTTTCGGGATGTTAAATAATAATTTAAAATATTTTCTAAAATGGAATTAATGTGCGAATCCATGATAAAATCATGCATCGATTGGTGTAATTTTATTCATATATAAATAAGCTTTTTAAAATTAATTTTATTTATGTATCAATCACCCATATGATTCATAAATAAGAAGTCATACGACGTCTACAAAGAGATTTAAATTTAATATATACATGACAATCGAATCAAATAAAAATATCCTTTCAGCAGAGCTACGATCGTTGTTGCAAATCGTACATTCTTCATACCCTCTTTCATATCGCTGTGATTTATAGCCTTCTTGGGGGTCTATCGATCTGGTGTAGTCGTGAAGAAAATTTTTGGATTAACCTCTTTTTCGATCATGCACAAATCTTTACTCATGAAATAAATTGTACCATACTAAACTCAGAAAACAAAAACAAAAATAAAACAAAGTCCATCATAGGGGCACTTACTGCACTCAAACCCACTATAGGGGTACTTAGAACCTTCAAATAGTAAAGTTTTATTGAATTTAATAATAAAAGCATAAAGAAAGAAATTTGGCTATTTCCAGCCTATAAAACACTTTTTTGAAGAACCCTAGAGAGAAAACGACTATGAATTTTTTTTTTTTTTTTGAAAAAAAACTAGAGTTGCTCGTGCTTCTCAAATATATATTTATCTTATCTTATACTTCATTATCTAATCTAATCTTATCGAAACTTACTAACTCTTAGCTTATCTTATCTATTTTATTAGCTCTTACTCGTATTAATCTTATCGAAACTTACTAACTCTTAGCTTGTCTTATTTATTTTATTAGCTCTTACTCGTATTAATCTTATCAAAACTTACTAACTCTTAACTTATTTTATCTATCTTTTATTAGCTCTTACTCGTATTAACTTCTATCATACATATTTTTTTAAACTAGTTAGAAGCGTATATAAAGCTAGGCGCGAAGAGCTTAGATGAGATGAGGTAGATTTGGAAAATTGGAAATTGATTACTTTTTAACATAATTTCATTTCAGATACTTCGTCATTTTTTTTATTTTTATTTTTTTTCTGCAATATTTTGACTTTAGCACTATGGAGTATTTTAGTCATATACATATGCTACCTTTGATTACTTTCGATGGTTATACTTAAGAAAAGATGTATTCACAAGAGATTTTAATTTGTTAAATATATGTTCATAATATCAAAATTTTTACTACAAATTTTAATTTTTTGACTGCAAAAGAGAAGGATAATTTTTTGACTGCAAAAGAGAAGGAAAAAAAAAAAAACTTGGAATACATTTCTTTTTTTTTGTTTAAAAAAACAAGGAAAAGAGGTACGTTTGGTGTGGAAAGAGAGTAGTACCAAAGTCTAACGAAAACTACCAGTCTACCAGTATTCCCGAGCTCCAACGATCTTCCCACAACCCGGAATTACCAAAAACCTAAACTACCAAAATCCTCCATTTTAAACCTTTTGAGCTCAATCAACTTCATCAATGGCGTCGAATGGAGCTTCTTCGGTTTGTCTCTCCCTCTCTCTCTCCTCCTTAACCCTTTCTCTTTGATTCTATGTTAATCATTTGATCAGCTTTTTACAAATTGATTGTAGTAGTTTGCGAAATGCAATCGAATTGAATTGCTTTTTTTGGTTATTTTGCAGAAAATGGAAGATACTGAAGCTAGTCTTGAGAAGATTAAACGCCAATTAGCTTCGAATTCTGGTCGAAATCTGTTACAAGGCCCTCTTTATAAACGATCTGAAACTGTAATTTCTTCTTCTTCTTTATATATTTTTTCAATTAATTTCATAATCATTTATTTCTGAAGTTCAAATACTTATGAGTTTTAGCTGATCATTGAATTAGGGATTAGAAAACCCTTAAATTGATTTTATGTGTAAAAGTATGTGAAAGCTAGAATTCAAAATCAATGTCAATTCCTCAAATTTAGTGATCCTAAGTCAATGAGAGGTGGTGGGAAACTGGAAATTATTGACTTGATGGAGTTATTTTTACGCAGGAGCTCGGCCGGGGTAGGGAGTTGGGTAGATGAGCGATCTTTATGTGATTTGGATGGAAAGTTGTGTTGTTATAAGAGATTAGGGAGGATAAATTAGGGAACTTTTATGAGGTGCAAGCTAAAGGTGAGTGCTTTAGAATCTCCTCAATTATGCATGGAGGCTTGTTGAGGTTGTTGAGTTATTGCCTCTTGATGAAGCTGTGATATACAATCTGTGGTACATTACAATCCTCAGCGATAGTATACAAGTATCTGATTCTGGCCAAAGAGCTGAGTCTGTAGGAAGTGGTCTATGTAATGCTTTTTTAAGAGTCTACAAACAGCTGAGTTTTTGTGTAGATGATGATAGACAATGTTCTGAAAGAGATCATTGAGAAAGATTATTGGACGAATGTGATTATTGGTTTAGGTTTCTTAGAAATCATAGTGCTTGTTCTTGGAAAAAGAGTGGATATCACACCAGACATATGCATATTATGCCAGGCAAGCTGCGTGTCTTCTTCACATTTTTCTTCACTATAAGGTGGTTTCTTAGTAACAGGCTCTTTCAGTTGCAGAATGAGACTTGGGTTTGTCCTTAGAATATTATAAATTGTTGCTAGCTCAGAATATGGGGTTTGGGAAGTCTGAGGAAATGTTATGGAAAAAACTCTGTGATAGCAATCTTGTGGAGTATATAGCTTGAATGGAATGGCTGTATTTGAGACAAACCTTAACATCGTAGTATTTAAATATAGTTGATAATTGTAAAAAGTTTGAGGTACACTACACTAGGGTTTAGATTCAGCCACTCAAGGGAAGCAAAGGTGTGCACATTGTGTGAGGTACACATTTCTTTGTAAAAATCTTGTATATCAGCTGTATATTATATTAATTAAAAAAAGCTATTAGCTCACATTTCACAAAATAAGATGAATATCATTATTTACTATTTGTAGATCACTAAAAGGCTTATTATGTAATCTTCAAATGGATGACTAGTACACGCCTGTAATCTACCCTCATAGGGTGGATGGTAATGTTCTCTTTTCAACGATGAGTTGGGTGAAGAACAGAAAAGATGTTTAGAAAAGATTAAATAAGTGCAGGGAGAGAAAATGATGGTGCTAAGTGCACCGAGTGATAATCATGTAATGACAGTGGTGTATCAATCATTAGAGCACGATTTGTGGTAATTTATGAAGTGATATAAATGGGTGGGTAATAATGACGTTTGGGGGAAGTTGTATCGTAGAATCCTAGAAGTAGCCTGGTACATGATATGTTACCTACTACTTTTGACTTTTGAGGTCTCAGTGTCTCACCTAGTAAAAGGAGGATGTTTGCTATGAGTCTATATTTCATCCTATTGTGTTTATTTGACACTAGCTGCTATTCCACTTATAGTAAGGAGCTTAGATGTAGCATAGTGAATTGCCGTCCCTTTTTTGGGTTAAATATTGTATCCTCATCCTTTGTGGTTGTCTGGCCAGCTTCCTTGAAGGAGCTGATTGTTCAACTCAGTGAAGGCTCTTTTGGGGCTGGGTTCTGGAATTAATATCAAATAGTCTGTGCTTATCTGGAAGGCCACATCTAGGTCATGTAAACCATGTGTTTTTAAATTTTCTAGCACATGTGAAAGGAGAGCTTTGTAGCACTCAAGGGTATTTATACTATAAGTTTTGGTCCTTAAGGGAGGTCATCCTCTGGTTGAAGATACCTGTCATTTATTTTGTCTCTCAGTTATCAAGCATAGACGGTAACCCTTGAATCATAATGGGTAACAAATAGACGAGGCTAATTCAAGCCTCTACAGGAAAATTTCACTGTTTTTTTTTGGGGGGCTGGTACTATAAGCCACTTTCAGTAATAGAAATCTCATGAGCAGTCCACCATTTGCATTTGTAAAAGGTTAAGCATCCTTCTTCATTGTTTGTTGAATTAGCCAAGTATTGGTTCATTTCACTATTTGTGGTGCACCTCTTACGAACCCTATAGAATAGTGAGCCAACTCCTATTTTGATTTGAAGGCCCAAAAGGGACACGTTTGGCCTGACAAGGAATTCTTTTCATGGGATTTCCCTTGTGCAGGCCTTTTCAACCTTTCACCTTACTTGGTCTCCAGTCTCCACTGCACATAGGGGGAAGGGTTAATCAACTTTGCCTCTTACTGCCGCAGCTTTTACAGTCTTCTAGAGAGAGAAAACTCTTTCCCTACCTTTCACGTTTATGGGAACTTGGGTGGGTCTATATTCTCTATAAGACATTCCTTCTTTCTCCTTCATTGTTCCTATTTGATTTATAGCTGCCATCATTAAGATGTTATCTGTTCATACTAGATATCCTTTGCTAGATTTCAGTTCTGATGCCCCTTTGCAGTCATCTGCGATTTTTACTATTTTATGGAAACTTATAATGCCCGTGTCTTCCTTTCTTACTTGTTCGTCATATCTATGGACTGTCGGGTATTGTTGCTTTTACTATAGTCCAATGAATCCTTCATAATCCCGTATGGGAGGAGAGACACAGCTCCTATCAACCTGAATGCTTGTTAGGATAACCCCCCCCCCCCCTCTCACCCAATGCAAGAGAGCCCCACCAGTCTACCTCCTGAGTCTTACAGTTCTACTACATACTGGGCAGCAGCTATCAATTTCATCAAGCACAGTGACCTTTGGGTCTTCACAGTTAAATCAAGGATCTAACTAACTCTTAATTTTTTTTTAATATTGCAAAAGTGAATGTACATCAAAAGGGTACTCACAAAGACACAAAAAAAGAACTAATAGCTAGCACAACTTCTTTGTATCTCCACAATAGAGTAACTTGGGAAAGCCACACTGCCTTAGCCTTTTATGTCACCTTTGTAAATGATTCAGTTCAGTATTATTAAGGTATAAAAAAATGGAATTGTGTACGTCTTGATGGTGCAACTGAACTTTTATGGTCCTTGAGTAATTTGTAATAATGTACATGGAACTATCCTTAAATTAGGCCATTAGTCCATCTGGTAATCCCACAAGAGTAGCAGGAAGGCTTACAAGAACTGACACTATCCTGTCTCTAAGTAAGAGGTGATCTGATCTAGAGATAAGATTTGGCCCAATGAACTTTTATATTGGTTTGTTGAGCTTTCTATGCCTAGAATTGGAACGTCCCTATTGTTAAAGGTCCTTATTTTTTTGTTGCTGCACAAGACGTTGAGCCTTCCGTCAGTTCCGTGACCATGATTAGCATTCCCGTGCATTAAAATTGTTATTGACTATGAATATCTTTATATCTGTAGATTATTTACATTATTCAGTTAACTTCTTAGCTGCCAAAAACTTTCGATATATATGCTTATGCTAATCAAAGTTTGATTATCCTCATTATCTCTCTATTTCGTAGTTGAGGAAATGGAACGAGAGATGGATGATTTTAGATCCTAGCACTGGGAAAATGGAATACAAGTAAGTAGTATCTTAGGCCATGTACTTTATTTTGATAATTGCTAATATTATAGCAACTTTCTAATGGTTTTTTTGACCTCTTTCCATATGTGTATCTCTACATTACATTTTCAATTGACTTCAGGTTAAAGCGAAATGAGCCAAATGTCAAAGGAACCATTTTATTTGATGCAAGCAGCGCAATTACCCTGTCTCCTGTGAATTTCCAGTATGATTTGCTAGTTCAACTTTGCTTTATTAAGTTATTTTCTTTGTTCTCTGTGAAGATGAGATTTTGATTTGTGGTTTCATATTTTCAGTGGACTACCAAAATATGATGGGTGCTGCATCTGTATCCATTGATTTATTTGACGTTAAAGTCGTATGCAGTTCCTAAATTCTGTAATTGGAAGTATACATTTCAATTTGGGGGAGGGGGATGAGAAATAAATTATATTATACTTAACAGAACATACAGATATCGGAACCCCGCAGAAGAAAGATTATTTCCTTTGTGCAGAAACTCCTGGTGCTGCAAAAGCTTGGGTGTCAACATTACAGTAAGCTCCTGTGCTGCTTTTTATGTTAATTCCTTTATGAAGAAGGCTTGGTTACTTCTCTCTATAAGTTCATCAATTACCTTTCTATAACTGAATGTGCTTCAGTGCTGGTAATATTTGCAAAGATTAATCAAAATTAGCAGCCTGTGGCTTATGATCAGGAGATACTTTCATCATGATAATACAAATCAGGGAAAGATACAAAATTTCACACCTAAACAATGTATATATTCATAAAATTCAGTGAGGGATTGTCACCTACTGCATACAGAGTCATTGTGCTCTACCATTTTGCAGTTTCTGCTTCAGTATCAGCTATCTGTATTTTCTCCACATTCAACATCTTTTGTACCAATATGTCCATAAAAAACGCTTGTTCTGTAACGTAGCTGACCATTGACACTGTCTGAGATAGAGAATTCTTAGTAGCTATATTATCATCTTTGCTTAGTTGCTACTGGAGGAGGTGTAGGCTGCTTCCGTGGCCATTCTCAAAGGAAGTACTTCCTTTTGTTTGTAAATGGCAGAAATCTGTTGGATTTTTTTTTTTTTTTTTTTTTTTTTTTTTTTGGCAGTTTAGGTGTTGATTTATTTTGTGAATTTAAAACTGTAAACGAGGATACTTTGGTGCTAAGATTTGAGAAGTCAGTCCCACAAGAGGGTTTTTTAACCCAACTTTCTAGAAATTAACAATAATTGAAAAATTACTCCTCCTAGCGCAATTATTGTAACTTGACTCACTATTATCAAAAAATTTGTGTTTTTTTCTTTTCTTTTCTTTTTTTTTTTTTTAAGTTTTTTTAATTCAAAATAATTTACTTTCCAAAAGCCCCGGCATCTAATCAATGCAATTCAAATGACACTTTCTAAAATGGCCAGTATTGTTGATTATTATCTTTTCCTGGACAAGAAATTGGCCATTTTATGGCTCTGCCTACTATCCTGCTTCTATTTTGCTGTCATGGTATGCTTCCATACGTTGGATGATTTTCAGTCATTTGCTTTCATCTTTTTGGTGTAAGAAGTAAACACTTGAACTGTTATTTAGTACTTCATAGCCTTCTCAGTTATTCTTTGTTTGATTCCTTTCTTTATGTGAGGTTTGATAGCTTAATAAATTGGGCTCATGTTGATTTATGTTCCTGGTTGATTGCTTGATGTATGTTTTGGTGATGATTGTCTGCTCTGTGAATGACTGAATTGTTGCTCTGTGAATGACTGAATTGTTGTGGAGTTGGCTTTATTGTTTTATGGCTTATGTCTCTAACTTTGATCATTTTGCATGATTCAAGTGCGGCTCAGTTGGTCCTAAAGGCTCATAAAGAAGCTGTGAATTCATTAAGTGGAAGTGGCTCTTCTCAACTTGGTACGGTTGCTACTGTTGTTGCTGCTGCAAACTCAACTGCGCTAGAAGCCACAAAAGAAATAGAAGCAGCAATGAAGGTTTCTTTGAGAAATGCTCTGGGATCAATGTTGAGCAAACCTCCTGAAGGCCAAATGGATGATACAGCAATCATGAAGGTAAGGTGATGAACTGATGATCAATCTATTTTTTACAAATGAATAGCTTTTCCATTCATTTGTAACCTAGGCTGTTTGACCCTCATAAACAATGTTGGGTTGATCTTCCAATGATCAAGCAATAGTTAAGGTTGTAGTTCTAAAAAAGGGAAGATTCTATAGATGACTTCTTGATAATTTTTAAAAAAAAAATGCTTTGGATGTGTTGTTTTATCTTTGTTATAATGAAACAGTAAGACTCTGATGCAGGGATGAATTATTATTGGTTTCTTTGTCTCAAGATCTTCACTTGCAAGACTTCCAGACTAGTATCATCTTTCAAAGCCTCTTACCTCTTTAAGTAAAATCTTTCATTACCAAGAAAAAGAATAAACAATACACTCTTAAATCAAATTAGACAATTACAAGTCTACAACCATGATGTCACTCCCATTTTAAACTCTGTTTGTCTTAAAATGCCTGGATAGGGCTGACAAAAGCTTTTTTTAGGGATGTTGAAACAATGATGATTACTAAACTTTGCTGCTAATTCTTATATACTACCCCCCCCCCCCAACCCCAAACACACACACACACCTCCCTGATTTATTTGTGTAAATAGTTGTAGCAGATTTAAAATTTGTGTTTACAATAGTATAAACTGCGGATTCCATATAAAAACGATCTTACAGTGCTTGTCAATCCTGAGTAGGTATGGGGCAGTAGTGCTTGCACTTTTATGAATTGTAGCCTTGTTCTTTGTCAAAGGTTAATTGACTGTCTTGGAGTTTTTTTTTTAACTCTGTAGATTAAGTATCTGTGTTCTCAGAGCATAGACGAGATATTAACTAAAGTTTCCATGATGACTTAATTTTTTGTTGTCTTTCAGGAGACTTTACGGGTGAAAGATGAAGAACTACAGAATTTATCACGTGAGCTGCGTGCAAGGGATTCTGCAATAAAGGAATTAACTGAAAAGCTATCTGATACTGCTCAAGCTGCAGAGGCTGCTGCATCTGCAGCTCATAGAATGGATGACCAAAGGAGAATTGCTTATGCTGAAAAGGAGCAGCTCAAAGAGGGTTATGAGAAACATTTGGAGTCTACTGCAGTTAAGGTACTCTGTTGTGTATGTATGTTGTGACAAATATAATCTGTATTGGTAGAGCTAGATGAATTAAACATTTCCAGCATCACTTTCTTTGTGCTAATTACTTTTTGTATACTTCATGTCCTGGATCTAATTATTGTGTGCTTACTCTTTTGTAACATACACTATCATTCACTACATAGTATATGTTTTGACCGAGGCATGCTGCTTGAATGTGCAGTTGAGAGAATCTGAAGAGAAGGTTGTGGCTCTAAGTAAAGAAATAGATCAACTGATTAAACTGCGAGATTCAGCTATTCAAGAGGCACATTTATGGAGAAGCGAACTTGGGAAAGCTAGAGAACGTAATGTGATATTAGAAGCAGCTGTTGTTAGAGCAGAGGAGAAGGTCAGGATTACAGAAACAGATTCTGAAGCCAGAATAAAAGAAGCTGCACAGAAGGAATCAGCAGCTTTGCAAGAGAAGCAAGAGCTTCTGAATTATGTTAATGCACTACAAATGCAGCTTCAGAGGTCAATGAACAAACCTTCCTTATTAGTGTGTGTGCTCAGTATAACTGGATGTTTCACTATGTACTACTCCATATATCCCACAAACTTTTACTCCATCCAAACTAATTCTGCGTATTTACTGGATGAAAACTTAGTTTGGGTGTTGCCATCTGTGTCTTAGAGTATCGTTAATATGCTAATTTCAGATAGGTTTTCATTTATTTGTATTTGTATTGTTTTTGTTTTTGGAATAGTGGTCGAATGTTTACCATTTATAATCATATGCAGTATCTGATTTTTTTTTTTTTTATATATAAAGTGACAGGCAGCAAATCGACACGAAGCAAGTCTTTGAGAAGGCTGAGACTCGTTCTGACATGGAAGACACCCGTCCGCTAACTAAGCATGTGGACTCATCTGATGAGAATGTTGACAAAGCATGTTTAAGTGTCTCAAAAACAGTTCCTGTCGCCGAGGATGGTGCTGTTTGCTTATTAGAAGCAGACCAAGGTAATGAGCACCCGATTGGTGATGGTCAATGGAATGATATCCAAGCTACAGAATCAAGAATAGCCGATGTAAGAGAAGTTGCCCCTGATTCAGAGGGAAGAAGCTTAGACATTTCTGTAGCCAGCTCGCCGTTAAATGATCAGCAAGAGTAAGGAGGCTCCTATCCTCAAGATCGACAATGAAACATCCAAGGGTAAAAGGTAGAAATTTACTAGCTGTTTGAATTACTTTAAAGCAGTTTGTGATGTACATGAAAGCGACGACAGGAGCTCCTTCCATTGCAGGAACTCTGGAATTAACGATTGTAATTCTTGTAGAAATGCGAGGTGCTGAATATAGCGAGTTTTCCTGGGATAGAACAAGATTTGATATGGTTTACATCTTGTTGAGATGGATGAAACTTTATGAAACCTTGCCCGAGGATGAGAAATTTGTACAACTCATCTCAGAATTTCATTAATCACTTTATTACAAAGTTTTCAATAGGATAAATCTTATAATCTTATGCGTGGTTTATTCGAAGTCAGTGGTGTTGATGAAATTATCTACCCCCACTCCCCCTCCCCTCCCTTCCCCTTCCTCCTCTTTCTCCCAACTATGAAGGGTAGTATTTTATTAAGTTTTCAACAAATAAAATACAAGAAAATTAAACGTAGTTGTATATGGTTCACTAATAATACTGCATGAGCTACGTTTTTATGACAGGTGGTAGAATAGTCCTATAATCTACTAAATGTGATAATGTATGAGCTAAGTTTTTAGGACATTTGGTACAATGGTCCTATAATCTATAAATGTAATAATGCATGAGCTACGTTTTAGGACATTTGGTACAGTGGTCCTTAAATCTACTAAATTGAACGAGCCCATAAGAAATACCTTAAAACAGTACTTTTCATATAAACATTGACTAATTACTGCTTTGATGGTGTTACCCTAATACCCCCACCGGAACTATGCTGCCCTCGAACTTTTGGCTAACTAGCCAGGCAACGGGACCTCGTCGCAGTTATTTGAATCACTAGATTACTGAGAGTTAATTGAAAGAAGAAGCCTGCGGATTCAAGACGCCTCATTAGACAAAATTAAGTAAAAAGATTTGTAGTTTAGGTCCCTAGGACCGCATAGCAAAGACTCTTAACAAAGTAAGCTAAATGACAATATCATATGTCATAATATAATGTCATTGTGAAAAGAAAAAAAAAGGATTAGGATACATCCTAGAATGGTACGTTTGGCATATTAGTAACCAAGTTGATTACAAGTTTGACCATCGTTATTACATGCATAAATCTACATCATCTTAGTTGGAAATGAAGAGCTCTGTGTTCGTCTACTACTAATAATATCGCCATTTGTTATAAATAACTTTTTATTTCAGTAATTTGTCAAAAAATGAAAGTTAACGGTCACATTTGAGTAAAAGTCCTGATCAACATGAAATTTAATTTCTTTAAGGTCTTAAAGTATTAACTTTTTTAAGGTCATTTCTCGCTTTTAAAGTCTGAAAGTATATTACAAATTACAAACTAGAAGATGTTCAAATTTGCGACCTATTGTACACAATAAATATTTTTTTCGATCTTTTGTTAATTTTTATTTTTGGGCAAGGAGACTACTAATATGTTTGTTTCTTATTGTCTTGTACTTAGAAAGTTAGAAGTGACATATTACTAGTTTTACTACTAATACTAAATTGTTTAATTTTTAAGGTGTGTAATTAAGGACGTAATATTCCAACTTTAGTAGGGAATGAAGGGCCCTATTATAGAGTCGGCAATCGGCAGACGTTGAAGTCATTGTCATACTGGGCCCATCTCAAATTAGTTGACCAATGTCTATGGACGACTTTGACTGATTACTGATCATCTTCTATTCTTTAACGAATTTTTGTCCATTGAATTCAAAGGATAGATAAGACTAAGAAGCCAGCGATCTTGCTTGTCCGTTTTATTTTACTTGTAACAATTTGACTTTTATGTTTATCGATATATAACTTTAATCACTAATAAATTTAATAATAATTAAATAAGAGTTATGAAAAACACTAATACGATGAAAATGTAAATTAAAATATTGATAACTACAATATGAAAATTTCCCTTCTTTCAATAAATTCCTTGAAACTATTTTAATAAATACATAACTCGTGTATTTGTACATGTATACATTATAGTGATAATAGAAAATTCATACTTGGTATCTATTCATATTTCTCTCTTAAATATTTGTGCTTAATAAGATAAAGAAAAATATCTAGTAATAGAGGGAGTAATAATTTATAGACAAAGGCACAAAGCCATTAAAAACAAGCCCAAGTTGCAAAGCACATGAAAGAATAGTTTTACTAGCTCATTTGGCTTTTTCTTACGGACCAATCCATTCAACTTAATTGCTAATGGGCCCTCTATTGAATAATAGCATTCTCGGCCTTGAGAAATTTGATCCAAAATGATTTAAATTCCCTTTTATTTATTTAAAGGAAACAATGTATTCCGTATATTCTTTTTTTTTTCGAAACATACTTTGTATATACTTAGTATATTTGTTACCTAATTGGCTAATTTGGAGTGACTATACTGCGTATACTTAGTATATTCGTTACATCAATAATTATGTAGATATAAGCTATATTTGACAATGATACATTGATACATTAAAAGATGGTGACACTGAGAAGTTAATTAGAGTTAATAATAAGGTAATAGCTAAAAATGATAAGGTGCTGAAATTACTAATAAATAAATGATTACATCAAATGTTTGGTAGAAGTTTTTTTTTTTTTTAGATATTTAGTTTAGGTCGCCGAAATTACTTTTAAGAATTTCTAATTTAAAAATAAAGATGATTTAGCATTTAGATAGATAACTACAATAATTTCACCACCTAATTATTTTGAGATGGGACTCGAATTAACATCTTAATTCAACTCTTTTTTGCCTTAGTTGTGTTAAATGAATAGTGAATCGCTAAAAGCCGAAATTGATCATGTTAGCTGATGTTGGCTAATGGATTTGACTATGTTGACTAATGAAATTGATCACCTTAATTCAACCTTAAAGTTAACATGCATTTCGTTATATAAAAAATAATAATATTTTTACCAAATGAATTTTATTAACAGTCCTAATGGATTAATACCAAATAATAATTATTCCAAATAATTCAAATACAATTATTCAAATCTTTAACACGTTTTTGTCTTAAAATTTCATTTGCATCTTATTAAATGAAAATGACCTAAATATAAACATAAGAAACAAGCTAAATTTTTTATCTCAAAGTGCTGTAGGAATTAGGAATTTTGGTCAAGCACGTCACAAGTTATGAGCAGGCTTGGATATCAATCAAATAAACAATTAGAAACCACAAAATTTTCAACCTTTATAAAAATAGTTAATACCACAAAAAATATATTACCAAAATATCAATGTTTTGGAAATTTCCGTGGAGATAAAGCAATCAACAAATTAAACACGCCAATTTTACAAAGTAGAAAATTCTTGCACATTTGCCATTTATGACAAGTCTATTAGAGCAACTACAGGTTAGCTAATTCATTTTAATAGCTTGTCATGTCACACCATTTTTTTAAGCTACAACAATTCTATCTATTTGTTACTTCAATGGTTAAGCTAGTTATAAATTAATTTATTTTTAAATTAATAATAATTTTTATCTAATAAATATTTACCAAGCTAATTAGCTTTGCAAAACTAATTTGCTTGCCAAAGCTAATCAACAAGATGTGCAACAATGATATATCCACTAGCTTAAGAATTTTTAATATTTACAAGCTAGTCCCTTTTTTCCAACCATTGGAGTTGCTCTTAGAAACTCAACAGCATTTGAAATGTTGTTGTCAGTTTTAAAACAATTCAAAAAGCTTAATTGAATACTTAGTAATTGACTTGTAAACTCCCTCTATTTCTTTTAGGTGCTTCTATTTGAAATCGTATAAATAGTTGCAATTCAAATTTTATTTAATATTCTCTCCATAAATGCATGAAAAAAACATACTTACGTGAAATCTTGTACGATAGATTTGTTTCGTTGTTTAATTACACAAAATTGTACTCTATCTGTTTCATATTAATCGCAACAGTAGGTCTTGTACAAAGTTTTAGGAATTTTGTAGGGTAGGGATGATAGGGTGTATTTTATAACATAAAGTATAGTTACTGAAGATATATTTAATTGTTTGTAAGAGAGAGAATTAACAAAAAAGTAGTTTAAGTGGGGTTTGTAGGAGATAGAGAGAAATAATAAAATATTTATGCAAGTGGGGATAGTGGGAAAGAGAAGTAATAAAATAGTAGTGGGTTTTTACCAAATTAGGAAGTGTTGCAACTATTATGAAACGGATGTAAAATGAAAGTGTTGCGATTATTACGAAATAAAGGGAGTAAATCTTATAATACTTCATCCGTTTTTTTAGATGCATCATTTTCTACATATGAAAATTTCAAATTCGATGCATCACTTTCATTTTTTACATGTTGCATGTATGTATTGAAAATTGTGCAAAACATAAAGCATGATTAATGAAAACTAAATCGTGATACAAATTATGGAGTATAAGTGACAAGTGTATGATGGTTGATCATCAATGTACGTATGGGATATTACCGGATACTGATATGGGTCACGTAACATGAGTCGGATCCTTGAATCTAGACTATTGCACACCAACATACATATTGGCCTACTCCAAAGTCTATGTGGAACGTTGCTTACGGCCACCTGGACACCTGCCATCCATTTGGTCTCCTATGTGGCACCTGCTTTTGGTATTTTATAAATTTCCACTCATAAATAACTTAGCTTCTAATGTACAATTTTAATTACTCTAAACCACTCAAATTACCCTTCATACCTTTATTAGACAAAACTGAAGACTTTAACGTAACATTGGAGCAGTTTTCTTCGGACAAAACACTAAGGGTAGCTAATAATACTAAATGTGCAGCGCTGCAGGTATCCATGCATCTAGATGTACGATAGACCATTACCGACCCTAGATAGAAGCTCCCTTAAACTAGACAAAATCTGATTTGGATTGAAACTCGATTTGATAAAAGCAGTGTGGGTATTTATTAATTCACTATCATAAATTCAAAATCATCTTTTTATGCTCCATGCAATACACATTTATGTTGTGAGATTAAGGGGTAATTTGGTGGTGATGTATAGAAGCCTTACTCCATTGTTAAGTTCGTTGCTAATGATTACGCAGGGTTTGATTCAGATCAGGTCGTTGCGTAAAAAATCCAGATAAGCTAGAAAACCTTAAATTTGGTGAAGAGAACACAGCTTGATGTTGTTCATCATTTGGACAAGACCTTGTTGGTAAAAAAAATCCAAACGATGCATCACTTTTAAAATTACGGATTCTTAGGCGATATTTGAAAATGAGAGGAAGAAAAAAAAAAAAAAGAGAACCCATGTGATATGAGAGAGATAGAGAAAATTTATTAAATAAAAAGGAAAGTAATGAATCTAAATGAAACTTCCACATATAAAAGTGATGCATCTAAATTAA